ACAATTACTTCTCTAATACTTTAGCAATAAGTAAATTCGGTGAAACAAAAATATACTGTTACAATTGATACACTATTCTAGTCTTTCCTGTTTTTTTTGTTTTTTTTAATTGACTTCATAATTTAACTGCGTATTTTAATTCCTCTTTACAAAATGTTGAAACTTTACAAATATTTGTACCTAATATTTTACCCTGTTTAATACAGTTTGCTGATGTTGGAATACGAAACGTTCAAGAATTAAATGTTTGTTACGGTACAAACACGTGCCAAATGTTTGTTCTATTGTTCATCACCAAACCATTTCTCTTTGTAAAGTGCTTCTTTATTCGAGAACTACCTCGTCTAAATGTGTGCTTTTGCCGCCTACTTAGTCACTTTTCAGTTACCAGTCGTTTATTCTCTCTTTATGTCGCTTTGGTTTTAGGAAATCAAAGTGAAAGAAATGTCCAGTACTTGTATTACTGAGATTAAGAAGGACGAATATTTAATACGAACGCTCCTCCTGATCAACTAGCTATTTTAATAGTACACACATGGAGAAACTTAATTTCAAAGTCACTCTCATTTCCGCTACACGAGAGGCATGCCGCGCACGTGCTGTCTATCCTATTTTTTCCATATCCCAATCCCTTTCATTTTCTATCGTACATACCTACACGTTCCTTTCTTGAATATGCCAGATTTGTGGAATGTTTCCTTGAACCCCAGAGACCGCTATTTATGCAGTCTTTACTGTTTTTTAAGTAATTTTAAAGTTAATAAGAATAATAAGAAAAATGTTTAAAACTCGTTATTGCACGAAACGTGAACAGCGTTTTTAAATTAAATAATATGGTAAAAGTACACCATACTCACCTAGGGTAGGATGGTAATATGCAAAAATAAGATTTCATCGCAATGATAACAAAACATGTAGTTTCATATCAAGCTTTCAGATCATCAATGATATTTCAGATAGTAGTACAGTCAATTTCAATCGTCACAGTTTGTTGTGGGATGTTTAAATTGTTTTAAAGTCCACCCATCTGTGCATTTAATAAAACACAAAGTTTTATTTCAAATTTTCAAGTTTAATACTATTTCTTTGTGAGTAATTTTGCTTTGTAAACCACAAATCTTTAAACATAGGCTACTTTTTTTTGAGTTTTGAAAGTCTTGGTATGAAAAGATTACATAAACTCAAAGTCGAACTATTTGTTCTGATGCTCTGATTGGTTGTTATAAAATGCAACTCTAAAGTTTGTGTTTTGTATGGCTCACGGTACTCTGCGTTAGCCTAACATATAAATTAAAAATAAAAATATCCTAGGAATTGCACGATATGTTAATAATATAAAACGTATCGGTCATATGGCGATGGAAGTGCACACCACTTCTATATCTAATATAAATGTGTATTTCGTATGTTGGACATTTATAGTACATATAGACTTTTTAATAATCATAGGCTGAAAAAGAAAGAACTACCAGAACACATATAACCAGCCAATCATAAATGTATCTTATTGACAGGTAAAAGGAGAAAAACAAATTCTCATAGTTATGCAAACTATATTTAATGCGCAAAGCTGCACAATGAGTGCTGTACCTACCGCAAGGATCTATTTCCGAATTTTAGCGTTATAATCCTTAACGTTTACCGCTAAGCCACCGTGGGACGTCCATTAATACTGTCAAGCACGTTGGCTTCAAAAATCCTTTTTCAGTCACTCTTCTTTGATAAGTATTGTTAATATTGTGAAAACAAAAGCTGGTTAAAGCTGGAAATCTGTTAAACAGTTCATTTTCAGACACAATACATATACTGTTAGACAAAATGGGAATGAAATCAAATGGTCTTCTCATACAGCTTTAAAATTTCGTCGGTGTTAATCCCATCACACCGTGTTATGTAGGGTTAGAAAAGCACGTGTTAATAGTGCCCAACCAATTAAATTCCTTTTATGAGGAAAGATGAAATGATGAGGATGAAATTGGGACAAAGCATTTGACACTATCATTACCCGAAACCCTTGTCCTACACCTAGCATAGTTCTGATATCCATACCAGTGGCGCTCCGTCAGGGTTTGACACCACCACCAGAAACCCTTGTCCTACCCTAGCATGGTACTGACATCCATACCCGTGGCGCTCCGTCAGGGTTTGACACCACCACCAGAAACCCTTGTCCTATCCTAGCATGGTACTGACATCCAAACCAGTGGTGCTCCGTCAGGGTTTGACACCACCACCAGAAACCCTTGTCCTACCCTAGCATGGTACTGACATCCATACCAGTGGCGCTCCGTCAGGGTTTGACACCACCACCTGAAACCCTTGTCTTACACACCTAGCATGGTACTGACATCCAAACCAGTGGAAAAATATGTCGTTCTAAAAAATCATTCGCGGATTTATTTCTTGCAGTTGAAGTCCAGCGTTTGATTTACTGTGTTTTAGTAGAACTAACAACATCAATGTTAATTACCTAGACAAACAAATGACGATATATATGTAGTTCTGATAAGCAAATATGATGTAATTTCTTATCAAACTATGCAATTTCTGGGTCATATCACACGAACTTCTAATACACATAACCTTATACTATATTTCATATGCTTAGACCAATTAATTTATGAAATCTGATCTCGTACATGCAATCATCTGAGGAAAAATATCATCTTGCACGACGGTCCAATGAAGGACTAATAAAACAAATTACACATCTCCTTGTATTTTAAGCTATGTTCAGCACAACTCTCTGCTTCTTTAAATATACCTTTTATCATCGTTTTGTTATCATTTGGATCTAAAGAGTAGGATGCCGTCATCACTGTAATAGTGGGGAGGAGATGAGGAAGGTTGAGTTTTGACAAGAACGGCTTCGTACGTACTGGAGTTGAATTAGACTTTGTATATCTATCAACTGTTCCAAGTATATAAAGTCTCTCTAGTACCTGTTTGTTTACAGGATGGTAATATCAAGGTCATTTTTTTGTATCTATTTCAATATATAAAGTTCACGAAGTTAATCAACTTCCACATGCCTCTGCCTTGTTTGGAATAATAATGATGGAATGCAAGAAACGTGTTGCCATTTGAGGCCTTTTTTTCGTGTATCAAGGTGTTGGATAGTTTTTATCTGGACTTCGAGGCTGCCTGAGAACCTCAAGGCCAGCGTGGGACGCGTGTCTTTAATCGCCAAGGCTCAGCTGGAGTTACTTAATGAAGCAAATTCTTGTTCCAAACATATTTACAGAGTTTCGGTAACTACTGGACACCGCGAAATGCACCAAGATCAACGCAATTAAACCTTCTGAAAAAAAAATCGACTACTCCAGTCAGTTTAGCCAGTACAGTTGTTTGGAATTTAGTAATATCTTTATACTGAAACTAGTGTTTTTATTTTGGTTCAGAGTATCAGTCTCCTTTCGTCATTTGTATTAATTAATTTGTTAAACAAGAAATCATGACTATGTACTAATGACTGTTCTTTCCTCTTAGGATTAAGAAAGCTTTGGCCCGGCATGGCCGGGTGGTTGGGGCGCTCGACTCGCAATCTGCGGGTCGCGGGTTCGAATCCCCGTCCCACCAAACATGCTGACCCCTGTCAACCGTGGGGGGCGTTATAATGTTACGCTCAATCCCACTATTCGTTGGTAAAAGAGTAACCCAAGAGTTGGAGGTGGGTGGTGATGACTAGCTGCCTTCCCTCTAGTCATACACTGCTAAATTGGGGACGGCTAGCGCAGATAGCCCTAGTGTGGCTTTGCGCGAAATCCATAAAAACAAGAACGTTTTTGTACTTCACTATTATACAAGATTCCAATTCCACGTTAAATTTTCTTAAATCATTAGACCATTTACTGATTAAAAAACAAGAAGAAAATACAGAAAATTATTAATTTATCTTGTTCCATCATAATGAAATATTGACAATACGAAACACCTAATGGCGGTCACACTATTTTTTATTGTTTCATAATTGTAAATCGTAATTAAACAAATTAACTGTAGATTATCAGCTTCACGTGATTCAGTTTTGGTTTCCTCAAAGGAACTGACGAATCGAGGAGAATAAAGATTGAAATTAATTCATAACTTTTTGGAAAACAAAAATGTCTTACAATCAACTCAGTCATGAATTATCTTATGCAAGAAAAACTTGTGAAATTGTTTTGCTTCATTACCACAGGAATTATCTCTACGAATTATGAGAAAAATATGTTTTTATAAGGTGTAGCTAATAACAAAAAAAAATTATCTAGAGCATATTGAGGACACAACTGAACAAGATAAAAATATAATTCATGGTATTTTTAGGTGATACTAGTGTCAAGTGTAAACTTTAGCAGTGTGAGTGGCAGCATGTAGTTCAAGTAATATTTTGTTTGTGTTAGAATTTCGCGCAAAGCTACACGAGGGCTATCTGCGCTAGCCGTCCCTAATTTAGCAGTGTAAGACTAGAGGGAAGGCAGCTAGTCATCACCACCCACCGCCAACTCTTGGGCTACTCTTTTACCAACGTATAGTGGGATTGACCGTCACATTATAACGCCCCCACGGCTGAAAGGGCGAGCATGTTTGGTGTGACAGGGATTCGAACCCGCGACCCTCAGATTGCGAGTCGAGTGTCTTAACCACCTGGCCATGCCGGGCCTCAAGTAATAGAATACTCAAATACAAAGTACAAGTTTGTGTGTTACAGCTATCGCACAACCACCGGAAACAGGTAGTTATGCCTTGAAAAAAAATCCTTATCCATGGATATCGCAAGACGGTAAAGCATTCAGACTTTTGTGTTTTTATTTTTCTAACAGAAGGGGTGATATAGGCTTCTATAGTTGTACGATTTTTCAAAATATCTCGAACTGGAAATGGACCTCTTCACGACCTTTTGCTACACTTAAAAAATGTAAAATAGTATTATTTTTAAACCAAACGTTTGCAAATAACTAAGAATTAAGTCATTTTAATAGAGGGTCCCGTATATAATTTTTTTTTTGGTTTTTCAGAGTTTCAAAGAAAAATTTTCAGTCATGTTGACCAGCAGATGGCGCTGTAGAACGTGGCTGGCGTACGGAGTGATGATGATTCTTGCTTTCTTACCACATAATGAAGGATGCGTGTGTTTGTCATCCCATCCACAAGAACACTATTGCTCTGCGCATTTTGGTGAGTTATAGCATTAGAAAATATATTTCAGAAACATGAACAGTTCACAGTAATTTAGCAAGTAGTAATAACGCAAGCTCAACTTTTCAACACAAGTTTCGAGGCAGTATTAAGATAGACTGTACTATTTTATTTACCAAGAAATAATTTTATTTGGTAAGAAGTACCAAGGAAAGTTGTAGTTCTTATCCACTTCCTCCAAGCTGTACTGATCGATGAAGCTTATTTTGTGTGACTGCTAATCACCCCTCCCCATCCTCCAAGCTGTACTGATCGATGAAGCTTATTTTGTGTGACTGATGATCAATGAAACCCACAAGAAAGAGTGCCCTGTTTTACTGCCTAACTGAGAAACATCAGTTTTCTTAGTATATAACAGTTAGTATCATTGTACTACACCTTTGAGGGGTGATTAGCAGTCACACAAAATAAGCTTCATTCAACAGTATAGTTTGGAGGGTGGAGGCTGCCCAGTTTCAGAAAAATTCTAACATTATAGCACGATGTTCCACTGTTTAAGTAATCTTTAATATAGGACATTTTTATAAATATTGAAAATAAAACAAGCTTTTAGTGCTCTACCTGTTATTAAGTGGTAGGAATATGACGTAAGTAACGCAATGTTACTTTTTTAGTTGACTCGTTGCTCAGCCTACAGTAAAACTGACATACATATTCCTCCCTTTTCTGATAACTACATTGTTCGTTCTTCATGGTATAGTTTGAAATTCTTTCTGATCGATTGTTTATTAATTTCCAGCTGAATAAAAATTGTATAAAAGTAAATAATAAGAATACTCCAAGTATCGCAAAATATATTTGCCTGAAGCCCAATAAATATTTTTTTACAACACCGAAACATACTTTGATTAAACTAAACCTTACAAATAACAGTTGGACTTTTGTTTATGAGTTAAAAACATAATTTGATTAGGCCTTGCAGTTTGCCTGCTTTTTTTCATGTTTTACAACAAACAAAAATCTGTTTCTACATAAAACATTTTGATCGAGATTCTATCAGTTGTTAAAGTTGAGGATTTGATGCCCAAGTCCGGAAACAGGTTACTTTAAATCACTGAAGCGTAAGATTGGCCTACACGTGAGAAGATTGGATTCTGACAAAAACGTGTAAAATAAATGAATGTATTAGTCTTGGATTGTACAGGAAATTAACAAAACTAATACCACGTACAAATGTGTTGAATTGTGAATATTTTGTATTCAAATAATAATTGCAGAAAACTAATACCACATACAAATGTGTTGAATTGTGAATATTTTGTATACAAATAATAATTGCAGAAAAGACAAAGTTACTGAAACAGAGCACAGAATGAGCGAGACGTTTACTACACTATTTAAAATGGACTGTGGGTATAATTTACGTAACTACCCGTATGTGCTTGCGAAAAGTATTTCTGCAAATTCATTTGCGTGCTTTTCTTACGCACACAATGCACGTTTCAATTTGTCTAGTAGAACAAGTTTTGCTACAAACATCACTTGTTAAAGTCTGTCTGGATCCCGAAGTTGGATGTAACCATAGTAACCAGTACGTTTTCAGCCAACTACGATTACGTGCTCAACATCAGTGGATAAAAAATAGAATGTAAACAAAGGTAAACTGGTGCCGTAAAGAAGAATTTAGACATGAGTTATGTAGAGTTAAAATTCTTAATTTTTTTAATGACATTTGATTAAATACACCAAAATGAAGATGTTACGGAACTACCAGAAACCTTTAATTTAAAGACACAGCCAGGCAAGATCTCGGCATTACGTCATCTGAAGTAAACAACAATCATAGCGAGTCTGCAGCAGTCCCCCAGTGGGACAGCGGTAACTTTATGGGCGTATAACGCTAAGATCCGGGATTCGAGTCCCTGCGATGTACACAGCAGATAGCCCAATGTGGCTTTGTTCTAAAACAATCCAACCGCAGTACATTTTGCTTTTGGTCTACAATATATAGTATCAATAAAGAAGATCAACTATAGAATTACAAAATGAAATTCTGAGGAAAAAAAAAACTTGTTGAACTGCCACGCCCATAAACGACGTTCAGTCTGAGAGGCAGGTATTCACTTGACAAAAGAACAAGCTGAAGGTTTCCCACCTAGATCGGCCTTAGAAAACATTGTGTGGAACCCACCTATTTTTTCGTTGAAGGATACATTTTCGTAAGGATTCAAAAATCAAATTTATGGAAATTACCAAACAATATTGAAGCCTAAAGTTAAGGTAATCTTTTTTCTTTTAAGAATACACTAGTTTAATGCATCATTAGATTGGTAGATGTGTGCCATTTTTTTTGTTTTAAAGTTAAGACTTAATGTCATTTCAGGCCCTATTTTTAAACTACAGAAAACCTACTCTGTTTATAACTCCCGGAAGTGTAAGCGGATTTGATGCAGAAATAATCTCGCTAAGTAATCGACAACCTTGTTTTGAGAGACTGGGAGGGAAGGAAAACTGTAGAATTTAGTTTCTTATCTATAATCAACTAAAAATAACGTCTTCTGTTGTAAAATATTCGATATATTTAGCTGCTTGTGAATACAACGAGCAATATCTTTTTGTTAGATCGGTTGTTTCCATCAGTTGTACATAGAGGGCGCCCTTACATTCCTGCTGGTTTTTTAACCGCTCGTTAATCCATGTCAACTTTATCAGTGTTTTCTGAAATAAGATTTTTTTTTTTATTTACAGTAGTTGAGTTATAAGGGAAGCGTGATTGCACGATATCTGTGTGTGTGTGCATCACAGGAGTTCATCAAGTTTCAAACGATCGCACTATGTGGAACTGTGTTTCGAAAACATGAACACTCACTCGAAATAGATTCAACATATGAATATGTCAGTATCGTAAATCAACAAGGAAAGATAAAAACAAAACAATAACTCTTACACTAATGCTAATTCTTAACTGAATTTGTATTGTAAAATTAGTTTTTTTTTCTTTTAATAAACCAACAGTGCTAAATACAGATAAAACTGGTATCACTAATAAACAAAAACGCACATAAAAATAATAAGATATCCTAATGAGGTTGTCATAATACATTTCCATGCATGTGTGTTTATTTTGCAGCTTAGTGTTTTATAACAGGTATAAGAATTCAGCTACGTTTATATACGTTTTTCTCATTAGTTTGGTTGTATTGAAAAAGGTGTATAAACTTATTCTCATCTAAAGTAATCAAACACCAGCAAGAGCCTGGTAGTTAGGGCGCTCGACTCGCAGCCTGAGGGTCGCGGGTTCGAATCCCTTTCAGCCGTCAACCCCACTGTTCGTTGGTAAAAGAGTAGCCCAAGAATTGGCGTAGGGTGGTGTTGACTATCTGCCTGTTCTCTAGTCTATCCCTGTTAAATTAGGGACAGCTAGCGCAGATAACCCTCGTGTAGTTTTGCGCGAAATTCCAAACAACCCAAATCTCTAAGCAATTTTCGCAGACTTGTCCACTTATTTTATATAATTATATTTTTAACTGGCTTATCAGTTAATCTCAATAGGTTTACACTATAATCAGAGATCAGTTACTCTCAATAGATTTACATTATAATCAGAGATCAGTTAATCTCAATAGGTTTACACTATAATCAGAGATCAGTTACTCTCAATAGGTTTACACTATAATCAGAGATCAGTTACTCTCAATAGATTTACATTATAATCAGAGATCAGTTAATCTCAATAGATTTACATTATAATCAGAGATCAGTTAATCTCAATAGTTTTACATTATAATCAGAGATCAGTTAATCTCAATAGTTTTACACTATAATCAGAGATCAGTTAATCTCAATAGATTTACACTATAATCAGAGATCAGTTAATCTCAATAGTTTTACACTATAATCAGAGATCAGTTAATCTCAATAGATTTACATTATAATCAGAGATCAGTTAATCTCAATAGTTTTACACTATAATCAGAGATCAGTTAATCTCAATAGATTTACATTATAATCAGAGATTGTTGTAGGGAAAATAAAACAAAAACAACCAAACACCAGGTGGCTACATTAGCCTTGAAAACTTGTAAACACATTTTCTCCGCAATTTCTGATTTACTCACTTTTGAAAAAATATATATAATAGTTGAAACTGGATTATGAACTGTGTTTAAAAGATTTACTCCATAATAAAAGATTATCAGTTGTGTTTAATAGGTTTACTCCATAATAAAAGATTATCAGTTGTGTTTAATAGGTTTACTCCATAATGAAAGATTATCAGTTGTGTTTAATGGGTTTACTCCATAATCAAAGATTATCAGTTGTTTTTAATAGGTTTACTCCATAATGAAAGATTATTAGTTGTGTTTAATAAGTTTATTCCATAATCAAAGATTATTAGTTGTGTTTAATAAGTTTATTCCATAATCAAAGATTATCAGTAAGTATGCAGAAGTACGTAGGCGATGGTTAACGATTGTGGTTAACGTCCTCATTCATTTCTAGATTCTAAGAAGAAGTAGGCACGAAGGTATGTGAAGTGGGTTGGGTGATTTAATATTTTCACAGCGATCCGATGTAACAGGGAAAGGAGAAGAGAGGGACTACTTCAAGGGCAACGACAACCAGGCTTGTCTCCTCCAAGTTACCACTTAAAAGTCATACAAACTCCTTGCTTTAAGTGGGGATAAGAACCACCGTGGCTACAAATTTAAAGTAATTATCTGGACTGATTAATGCTAAACTGTTTACAAGCGCTCTGGAAACTATATACACTTCTTCAAGGTTTTACCCAGGGTTACTTGGGATTGAAATTAAAATTCCTTCACAATATTAACGCACATATTTATTCACGTACAATATTATGCTAATTTTAGGCAAAAATAAACATTATTATAAAGTTGGTTTTAGTTTTTATAAAATAAATAATCAAAAGCATTTTGTTTTCAAATACACGCGAGTTGTTTTCGAAAAAACAGTCATCTCATCTTACTGGTAAACTAAAATATATTACAGAAATTGGTAACAGGAAAATTAGGCCTATAGTTATGAATTTTCACTGTTTTAAGAGTGTCACTAAAATATGTTAGAATAACAAGTTAGTGGGTGGGTGGGTGGTCGGAGATGTCACTAAAGGGTTCCGTGGGTTGATAGGTGGGCAATTCACACCAGCAGATGGCTATAGTTTGTCGCCTAGAAACAGTTGAAATAGCACTCGTCTATTTCAAAGTTTACGTTTTTGTGATCTTGAGAAGAAAAATAACATACCAACGTTCAACTTATTTATGTTGGTGCACACACACACACATATATATATATATGCGCGTAACTTGATGGGTTGGTGAGCATGTGTTTCAACAGTAAATGGTAAAATTATTTAACAACAGTTTACTATTCTACTAATGCATCCTTGGTAGGCCTAGCATAGCCTAAAACCTGCGTTCCCGGAATATGATTCCGAGGATGCATGACTCTCGACCCGTTATATCAAGAACACGCTTCACACTTTGGGTTATAGCTGCGCTCGAGGAGCGACAGTAATTTCACTACTCAATCAGGGATGAGTAGTGCAACAGTTGACGGTGATCACTGTTGACTAGTCAGTCGCCTTTCAGGACGGTCATGCGCAGATGGCTCTTTTGTAGCTTTGCACGAAATAATGAAAGGAACAATTTCATGGAGTCGATTTCCTTAGCTTGATTTTTTTTTCTTTTTACGGAATTGGCTTCATTAATGTGCGTGCTACGTTATTTTGGGTTTGATCTACATTATTTAGCTTGCTATGATCAGAAACTTTCTGCCGATACGACTACTGACGTCTAAACACATTCTACCTTCGTGACACACTTACAGTTGTTATACTGTCTGATTACTGCAAGAATTATTATTATTTTTTCATCGTTGTTGTTTGTAATTAAGCACAAAGCTACACAAGGGGCTATCTGTGGTCTGCTTACCACGAGTATCGAAACCCGGTTTCTAGCGTTGTAAGTCCACAGACATATCTGTTGTGTCACTGGGGGACTTTTTTTACATCGAACTCTGCATGACCTTTTTCTAATAGTAGCCACAAATAAGGTTTTTATAATTGCGAAGCTAAACTACTACAGGCCTTGTCTCGACGTTAATTTAAAGTTAAGGAAGTTGTTGTTTTTCACTTAGTCAGTCATCTCGTTTTCAAAAAACGACAAAATTTCAACGAATATTTTTCCGTTTAGCAATGACTACGAACAGCCACAAATGTGGTCTTGTTACAGCACACAGATACAAGCAGATTTACAATGGCTCCAAACATACGAAGACTAGCAAAGGTACCCGGAAATGTCGAACTCAAAAAGCAACGCTATAAATGAGAGCGTGGGCCATTGTATTGGGCTATAGCACACGAACGTATCGTTCGATGCAAAAGTACCCGTGCTACGCACAGCATTGAACACCATTTTTATTTGACTTTGGATTTACGAAGTTTGATGCCAACCTCTTCGATCGGTTGTGCCCAGTGTATAAATTGGTCTGATAAAGGTGCCGGAATGCACGAGGGATGGGAATAGTTCAGTGTTTGACGTGAGGGGAACATACTCGCGCTATAGTTGCAGAGACAATAAACCGAAACGTAATTTTGTAAGAAACTAAAGAGTAGTAAGTAAAGTGTTTTGCTGCAGTATAACTTTTTCTTCTTCTTGCTGGTATGTCATGACGTCATTTGTTTTCTTACCCGTATGCAGCCCCACTTTAACCACTGATTCAGCCCCCATTCGAGGTATCAAAGCAGTATAATTGAAATATTGTCAAACTGAACGGTTCACTCGATTGCTTATCCATTTTAAACACGATCTTGGGAGAGGTTCACCTGAGATCCTTTATCAATTTTTTTATCGAAATTGGTTCAGCCAGTTCCTCTCAACAAGGCCCGGCATGGCTAGGTGGTTAGGGCGCTCGACTCGCAATTTGAGAGTCACGGGTTCGAATCCCCGTCCCACCAAACATGCTCGCCCTTTCAGCCGTGGGAGCGTTATAATGTTACGGTCAATCCCACTGTTC